CTACACACACACACACACACACACACACACACACACACACTAGACAAAAAAACTCGAAACTTGACAAATTAAAGATGTAAAGTACGTGTAAAATCACATTAAAAGTAGGACGCCTTTTTTTCAAGGCTACTTTGCACTAAGAGATATTAGTGTTGGTTTTATTTAAAACTTGTGATAGTTGTTCTGAATGAAATAATTTTATTCAATTCCATAAAGAAATAACGTTTTTAATTTGGGTATAAAATACTGCTAATCTTTCGCGAATGGCAAATAGGTGGGATCTAATGTAATTACCATGCGCTTCCTGTACTCTATCCGGAATTAATATTCTGCGAGAAGCCGAATTTATGGATTTCCACTGCTCTCTTTGACTCCTAAGATAGGAACGTTTCGATACAGTTTACAGTGCATCGTAGAACAGTCTATCAAAGTTTTGTTAATAAAATCATGAAACCATTCTCTCTGGGTTTTAGTGTATGATAAAGGGACTGTAGTTCTGTATCCGAGTTTCTTCAGGAACATTAGAACTTTCGTGGACAAATTCATCAGTAGAATCAAATTATGTTGGTCATTTTGAAAGCCCAAGTTAGCTTGATTAACATAGTGAGTTGAAAGTTTTGCAGGTGTGGACACTTTTACTTTAATTAATCCAAAATTTGCATTGAGCATGGTTTTGGTGTAAACGTATCAGACTTAAGCGCAATAAAATAAAAGCCCATCCGCGTGTCTTTCAGTGTCACTGACTTAGAGATGTAGGCTTTGTAGGAATGATGGAGCTAACATCGTCATTCTTGGGCGATTGTTGTTTTAATCTCTGTATTAATATATTTTTTTAATTTTTAAAATGCATACATTTCATTACATATTTGTTACCTCTGTTGATTTGTAGTTATTATAGTAAATTTTGCTGAACGTAGCGATGAGACCCGATATGATTGATTATATCGGAGTTGACAGTTTTGGTGACGTCGAACATTGCAATTGCCCATTTTTGTTATACTATTTTATTAGGTGAAAACTGAAACCTGACGAGATTCGAACCAGTGACCTCATTTATTGAATGCCGTGGGTCGTGGTTCTCATATAGTGGTTGTGTTCTGCCCTTATTTAATCCCGTCAGACCTCAGTTTCACTCCTTAAAAATTCAGAGGTTACCAGATATTGTTTCACCCATTAAACATTCCTGCACTAATCTTTACTTATTTGTATTTATATATTTATATTTTTTGCAGTATAAGCATATTTCATGTTCACTTCATACTATCTTTAAAAACTTTTCTTTGATTAGAAAGAGAAATTTATTTTATAAGTATACTTTAAAGTTCAACAAACTAATATAGTCATTCCTTTAACCGTGTAAGGCCGGGACATTTTTTTTCCGCGTTGAAAAAGACTTGTTCCAATGTGCGTAAGTTTTAGAAGCAGTTGCGTAAAATTAGGTTTTAATACAGACTGAGACGGCACGAGCTGTGTAATCGAAACGCGTTCTTGGCCATACCCGGACCATGTATGTTACTTTTAACTTACATGTACAGATAGCGTAGGCTGAAAGCTCGTCACTCCTCAGCCATAGTTGACTGGGAGAAAGACGGACGACTTATTTTTTGACTTCTTGAAGCGTAATATAAACGATAGTTATCAATGCCATTACGTCATGTGCCGCGGGGGAAGGAGCAGAGTTGAGGGTTGTGAAACTAGGCCAAACATCAGCAATCAGTGTTGTAGGAACTATGACTATAAAGATAGAAATCTCCAAGAAAGGGGATGGGGAGGAAATAGGGCCGTTTATGTGCTGATTTTTCTGAAAGTAAGAGTTATCCTGGCGTGGCCGAAGTGGTGGGGTGTGGTGTGATATGGATGTGTGCTTTCACTTTCTGATATATTAGTAGATCCTGTTGTCTCTTAATGCAGGTTGCATAGATCATTCTTATTAATGCAGATATTAATGAATGTGTGTATATGGAGTAGAGATAAAATACACAAAAAAGATGACTAAAATATCAAATGTACATGTAAATTCCCGAAGTATGCTATAGAACTATAGATGTTGCTGTATTTTAAATACTGTATATAACCTAGATATGTTGCAGTTCTGTTTAAAATATAAACTACAGATGTTGTACTGTTGTGTAAATACTGAGTATAATGTACAGAGATTGCTGTACTGTTGTGTAAATACCGAATGCAAGCTACAGAGGTTGCTGTACTGTTGTGTAAATACGGAATGCAAGCTACAGAGGTTGCTGTACTGTTGTGTAAATACCGAATGCAAGCTACAGAGGTTGCTGTACTGTTGTGTAAATACGGAATGCAAGCTACAGAGGTTGCTGTACTGTTGTGTAAATACCGAATGCAAGCTACAGAGGATGCTGCACTGTTGTGTAAATACTGAATGCAAGCTACAGAGGATGCTGTACTGTTGTGTAAATACCGAATGCAAGCTACAGAGGATGCTGCACTGTTGTGTAAATACCGAATGCAAGCTACAGAGGTTGCTGTACTGTTGTGTAAATACGGAATGCAAGCTACAGAGGTTTCTGTACTGTTATGTAAATACCGAATATAATCTGAATATAAGGCTGGAGTTTATATGGTATAAAGTTTTATTAGCAGGTAATATACTGAATATCAAGGTTGATGTATTTTGCATAAACATATAAAATATGTTTTTATTTGAATTAAATAATCACAAGTTCTGTAATGGATATTTAAAGTAGGGTGCATTTTAGACCTAATGATTATGAATATATATATACAAAATACATCAACATAGATAGTTTTTCTTGATATATTTTTCCCTAAATGGAAGTTTACATTAAAACTTGTGGTAACAGGGTTTACAACCATGGATGTTTTCTAAATGTAAAAGCATTAAATAGTTTTAGGACATGGGTTGGTCATGTTATAGAGTGCCAGATTTTAAAGCTGGTGAGCCAGATTTTTATCCATGTGATACCGCAAAATATTCTCCATACTTTAAGCTGTTTGTGCATTGTAAGAGTGACAGTAAATCCTTTAGCACAGATAGTGGGTGATAGGTTGCTTCTGGTTACCTAACTTCTCTCTATCTGGTCAGTAGTTCAAAATTAGAGATAGTTGCAGATATCCTTAGTATCTTTGCTATGAAATATAAATACAGTGGCATGTAAAGTGTAAACATTTAAATTACTAGATTTGCAGAAATGTTTATATTTTGAAAGAAAGACTTACAAAAGTATGAAATGCAATTTACTGAATAAATGTTTTTCTGTTAATAAAATTATGCTCCCTATGTCTTAGTAGAAGAAATTAATCAACTCATCTTTTCCAGATTTTCATTATTATGAAATTTATTTCAAAGTAAAGAACTCCAAAGTTGTTTGCTTTGCACTTTTGGAAAGTATTGACTATTGTTTCAGTATTGAAGTTGAAATGAAGACACAATGATTATGCAGATTTTAAATTCATTAAACGTTGTTGTTTTCTCAGTCTAACGACTAGAAAATTAATAGACTGAATAATTTGAAAATTTAATTAAGTTTACTTTTATTATGAGAAACTAGAATGGAACAAAATGAATCCCTGTTAAAGAGACATTTATTTTCAAACTGTTATCTTGTGAGTGTTTGAAATTGAACCTAAGGAATTTGGGATTATAATCTATTCCAGTGTGAAAGTTTAGAAGTGAAACAGAGATGGGCATCTCGTTTGTTGGGCAAACTCAGGAAAGACATAGCTCAGGATTGCAGGGAAGACTTTGTTCTAGGCATAACTGGGAAGAAGCGGGCAACATGTGTCTTAAGCAATCCAGACCAGAAGGGAAAGATGAGGAGGATAGACTGTTTAAGACAGGCAGACAAGGTAAATAGAATAACCACACTGAATTTAAGATAAAAAAAGATTGTTTCTGATGTATTAATATTCAGCAATAATTTAATGATTATAAGTGTTCATTTATTTAGTGTGAAGTTAAGTTATGGACTTAAAAACATGCATGGAGCTTAGAAGTAAGAAGACTTACAATTTTGGAAGTATTGTTTAATTAGGACTTACCATATGTTTCTGGAAGTGCTGGTTATTCAGGACTTAGTTCTAGGTTATGGTTCTGGAAATTTACAACAGTCAAGACTTGGATGTAGTTTATAGTTCTGGAAATGCTGATCAGTCAGAGCTTAGATTTAGCTCACAGGTTTGACTTAACTTACAGTTTTGACATGTAGGGATCTAGGATTAACTGGTAGCTCTGAAAGTTTATACTTCTGATTAATATGAATGTAGAATTATATGTTAATGTGGAAGAAGCAACAGATAACATTAATGCATCCTTGGTGTTTTGAAGGTTTGGCGACTAGATCTTGTAATGGTGATCCTCTTCAAAGCCATTCCCTTAGAAAGCACTGATGGTGAAAGGTTAGAAAAGTCTGCAGAGTGCCTCCACCCAAGTTTATGTGTAAACCCCTTCCACATCAATGTTTCCGTCCGTGAGCTCGACCTCTACTTGGCTAACTTCATATTTAGCCATGGTAAGTTAAAATTGTTAATATGCTACATTATTAAATTTTTATCAAATCTGATACTTTATTAATAACACTTTATTTACTGTAAAACTGATAAATAGGACTTGTTAAAAAGAAGCTTTATTCACATCCCAGCATAAATTGTTTAAAAGTAACTAATTATTGACTTGTTATCTCTATAATGCTGTTTTTAAAAGTGGCTTAAAAAGTTTAATTACAAAATTATATGCTTTTAGTTGAATTTTGTTAACAGTGTGATAGCTTTAGTACAGTTATTTGTAGAGCTGTTATCTAGGTAACATTCTGTTTTATGTTTATCTCTACTGAGATATTGACACGAGTAATATTGTAACTGTAATACAGTTAATGAAATATAAAACTTGAATCTAATTAACATTTGTTTAACTCCACTTAATTAAACATTAACAGAAACAGTGCTGTAACCATCCACTTGTCAATAAAGCTTTAATCTTAATAAAATTTCTGCTATTAAGTTAAATGTTTCCACAAATAATATTTTAAATGTCACAGTTTTCTTATAAAAATTAATTTAGTTAGCACATAAGTCCACTTTATTCAATCATTAAAGATAGAGCTTTAACATCATTACAATTGATTATAATAAATATTTTTGGTGTAGTAATAGAAAATTAATAGAAGTAAAAATTTCTCTCCCATCACTACTTTTCATGTACTGACAACCATTGTTAACTTCATTGTGGTATAAGTAGTGTTACTTTTTTCTTCTACTATATAGTGACACATTGTGTGTTAGAAACTGGAATTTAACATCATTACTCTTTAGTGACATGTTATAGTTAGAAAAGAACACTGTTTTGGTGGATGTTGAAATGTGCATACTTCATAATGGTACATTGTATATTGAAAAGTGAATGATATTATAAAGGCGTCTGCTTGTTATTAATGCCATATTATGGTGAGAGAAAAAATTTATACCTTAGTGTTGTAAGTGTTAAAATATCTGTGTTTTGTAATGGCTGTATGTTGAGAATAGAATATTATCATAATTTCAATTATATGTGATGGAACTGTGATTTCTCCTTTGTAAAGATAATTTTCTGAAAACTTGATTAAATATCTCCAGAAAAAACAAAAAAAAATCTCAAACTATTTTTAAACAGCAAGCATGAAAAGCATCTAGCACAGCAAGGACAACTTGGGCTAATAATAGACTTCCTACTTTGGTTACATATGAGTGTGTGTATGTTTGTGTGTTTTTTATTTATTTTTTGTTAGCTTATTTTAAAGTTCACCTTAAGGGCATTACACTTTATAGGTTACTTGTATAAACTATTTTATAGTAGTAACCAGGAAAATTGAATTAAGTTGTATTCTAGCCAGTTATTTTAAGTGAAAAGGGTGGACTTGTACCTACCGAAAGATCATTGTAAACAGAAATAAACATTGTTACTCAGCTGTACATGTTTGTAGTTGTGTGTTTAGGTATGGTAAATATAGATTTACTGGAAAATTACTGTCTTTTCTAAAATCTAATGGTATTGATAGCCAAATATGTATACATGCTGATTGTAATTCTACTGAAAACTTTGTCATTCAAAAACATGGTCTGTTTCATAGTCTGGTATTTATTTCCATGTGTTAAATTTTTTTTATTTACTGGCAAAAACCTAATCCATTCAATGATCAGATGTTTACTTAGTTAAATGCAGGCTTTGATTTTTAGAAGACGGGACATTCTTTATTAGTTATCGAGTCAGATTAGAAGGATACACAATGTTCACTAATTATAATTATTATTGGTGTAAAGCGAAAGAAAGTGAATATTAGTGTAGATACTTGGTTGAATTTTTGATGTTTTTACAATATTTTTGAGTCTGTTTTCATGTGAGATACCACTTAATTTATAATTTCCTCTTGTTTTTGAATTCTTCAGTGTCATTGGCATCCTATGAAAGTTGTTGATTGCACTGTCCATCAAGTTTTTAATATATCCATGCTTTATCAACTGCCATAAAACAATTGATTGTGTCTACCACCCCTTCTTACTAGTGTTATAAACCTAGGTTGATAGCATGTAGTTATGGACAGTTGGTTGCTTGCTCTGTATCAAGAAGTTCTTAATCAGCATTTCTGTATAAAAGCTGTTACACAGCCTGGTGTAGAAGCAGTTAGTGAAATGGATACAGATAACAGCAGTGTTTCTAGTGTGTTAACAAAGACCTGGGAGCTTTTAAAGGTGGCTATTTCTCTTCTCTTGTAATCTTGGCAGTATTTCTTTTTTATGACTGAACAAATAGCCCACTGACTGTCTAATGGATCTGAATGGAAGCCAGCTATCAGGGGCTTGTAGTGGACCTAATGGGTTAAGTACTGTAGTTGATGTTTTTGCTTAAAGCTATGAAGTATTGATTTAGCAACAAATTTTAAATTGTAAGCTAAACTATTGAATGTTTCTAGGCAAACATCAGTTTAGCAATGAACTGTTGCACATTTTTGTTTTTATTTGTACATTAAAGTATAAGTGTAATGGATTCTACTACAAACACTCCTTAAATAGCTAAAAATATGTGAAGTTTGTGTTTATAGCATAATGTAGTTTTATATAAAGTTACAATATCAGTTATGAATTATTCAAAGAATATTACATAGTTCTGAACTAATTAGAAAAAGTAGTGTGTGGTATAATGATCTGTTTTGGATTAACTTTCAGAGTTTACCTCTAGTTTTATTAAAGAAATAGTGATCTTGTCCTTTAACCCTTTTCGAGACGGGTCATGGTTGAAAGGCCATGTCATCTCGTTTGTTGACTCGCATTCAAAATTTTATTGAACTAATATTTCATGAATTTATATCAATAAGTTTGGTATCAAACTGTAGATTATAATTCAAATTTTACTACCATACATTACTCAATTTCTTAACTTAAAAGTAAATATTAAAAAACACAGATAAACATCGATTTTTGTGTGTTACATGGTATGTTGAATGCAGCACTGGTTCAAATTAGATGTTTGTGAAGTCAAAATAGAAGTCTATAGTTTTGAACAAATTAGAAACTCAAATTACCGATATTGACAAGCTAGAATATAAAATAAGAGCCTCTTATATTTTCAGTTTGCTAAGATATTGCTCATGTAATAAATCAAACACAGTAGCACCCCACCCACCTCTTTCCATTTTTGGAAATGCTCCCTTATATACACTTACTTCTATATATATATGTCATGAATAATCAATTGGAAGCTCAGTATATCCCCCTAGTGGCTTTCTCAGCCATTTTAATATGCTTCGCACCATTTCTTTCTTTTGAACCAATATTTCAATGAGGTAGATTGTGTCTTTAGTTTGCTTGAAATTTCATATTTTTTTTAGACCCAACTACAGCTTAGTTACTGAGCTAGATAAATTATGGTGGAATTCTATGGTATTAATATAGTAATTTATGATTTTTTGTTTAGTTATTCAAATGTATATATAAAATCTAAAAAAAAAAAACATATTTTGTTTCATATCGTCCACGTGCAATTTTTTTTAAAGGCTTAGCAACCTATGTCAAGCAGCAACCAAGTACAAAAGTCATAACTAGAAGAGATAATTGTTTGCTTCTTTAGTTACTGTTCTGTGTTTTAAGAAAAATAAAATTTTAAGAACTTATCTCAGAATAGCAATAAATTATATACATATATATACTGTATAATAATTGAAATTTGAATGTATTTTACAAAATACTAAAACTCAACCAAGACAAGTTACTTTGCACAGACCAAAGGTCAGTTTTATGTTATTTGATATGGTAACATGAGTGCACGTGAGCCACATCATTGTAACTTCTGTATTGCTAGCCAGGCACAGCTGAAAGGTTAATATATTAAAAATAATAAATATATATATAAATGTATAATGTTAAGAGATTTAAAATTTATGTTTTCGTGTTATAATTTGTTCATTCTAGAAAGAAAGAAGCATAATTTATCTTTTATTTCCTAATTTTTTGTGGTGGTTGTGAGATTGGTCAAATCTACCAAACCCATACAGAGATTAATTACTGAAAATAGCAGATAGAATATAAAGTTTTTTCTTAAGAAACATTTGATAACTATCTGGCCATTATAAATATTTCACGTGTGAAATTTC